TACCTTTCAAGAGGAGCCAACAATGCCATAAGGCCATACTTGGTGCGGACACGGTGATGGTTTTGGTTGTAAGGCAAGTGCCTGAGCAGGATCAGTGCAACACGTTTGTCGGGCGCCATAGAACATCATAGACTCATAGAACCATGTTTTGTGGGTCGCTGCCCGATCCTCCCAAATCTTCACCAAGTGACCGTCTGCACCCCGGCACCTTCCTTGCTGCGGCCGCGTTCCTTGCTCTCCCCGCTTTCGTCCTCGCCATCCTTGGAGGTCTCGAGAAAGATAAGGGAGAACAGACTCTTGAGTCATTTAGTGGTTACGTGCTGAAACCCTTCAGGATTCTACCATCAATTGCTTTGAGCATTCTTGGAGAGATGCGATGCCACACCAAGAATCCGTAAAGCCACAGCACAACTCAGTCTTATCTGATCGAAAGATGTTATGCCTGCAAACGGATCTTTCTTAAACTGTAATTACGTGATGCATTTACTGCCAAAACAGCCATGGAATTGCGTTGAACGCTGCAGGCGACACACAAGAAACTGATGTTCCGGCGCAGGCGATACATCAAGATTTACTTAGCCAGTCGAGTGATCTGAAAGAGGACCTCCTTGCGCGGTCCACTCGTCCCTACGGCCCTCCCACCGGTGTGCCGCCCCAGACGCGCTCTCCAATGGCGGTGGGATGCGTGCGCTCCGTGAGGCCTCCCATCAGCGGATCTGACGGCTGGGCGTTTGGGGTGTTGATCCTCCAAGCATCGAAGATCATAGAAGTATATTCTATAGAATCCTATTAGAATGCTATAGACCAACATCGTTTTTGGGGATACCCAGTTCTTGGAAGGCTGAGTTTGCATCTAAACCATGTTGTTGTAGGGTCCCATCATGATGTCCGATGGCTTTCGCGATGCATCGCGAGGTGTGACCGTCACAGTGGCATCGCCTCACCCAATTTCACCACCGCGGCCGGCGCTTCCGGGCTTGGGTTGGTCTCGTCAGCCTCCTGCAGGGGCTTTTCGGTTGCATGTCTCCAGGTTGGAGGATGGAATGGAATCATGGAAAGTGCTGCACCACCACCTGGGAAAGCCCTGGGATTTCAAGTGGGAGGCTCCAGGTGGAACAGGGATTGTTAAAACAGTGTGCTTCAATTAAGCAGAACTGCAACCGCAGGCAGTGGAACGGCTTTGTCTTGAAGTGTCCATATTCAGTAGAGGCCAGCCACATTTGATTCTTGAACCTAGGTCCAGGCTCCTGCCGCAGAACCTCACTGCTATCTCGCCTGGGCTCCTGGGAGGAAAAAAAAGCCAAGTCGGGGTTTAACCGGTTGATGCGGGCCTTATATTAAACTTAAACTTGTAGACCGGTTTTGTAACTGCAAAGAAGGTTCACTCAATTCTCAGCTTTTTCATTTCACTAAGACCGACAAACACAGAATGGCATTGGAAACCGGACTGCCTTGAGCCGCACCACCATGAAGCCGTGAAACTGGGTGCTTCTCCCAAATGTCCACTTCGCAAAAACAAACAGGTCACGCATGAAATACCTGCTCCTAGATGGGCTCTTTGGGAAATGCTTGGGGCCACGTGTGGTCCCGTCATATAATGTACATAGATTGTATGTGCAGAAATACCTATATTATACATAAGTATATGTGTGTACACTGTACACTACTACACCTACATATATATATATATATACTGTACTTTTCTATATACATACCATCCTATACCATAATTACCGATAAATACACAAACTAAAAACCACATGTATAATATTCACCTCATTGAAAATGTAATATGTATATAAATATATACACCTGAACCATGAAAGACTGTCAAGTCCTTGGGCAAATGCCTAACATTGCCGCACCGGGTTCGGGTGGCTGGGACGGTCCCACCAGCTTCGCTTCTCCATTCCTCGTCCTCGTCTTGCAGCTCAACCTGCAACTTCGGAGACTCAGGCTCCTCACCGAATGGAGATGCGCGACTGGCCACTTGGTTTTTCAACGAATGGGGCGGTGTCCAAGCTATATAGTTATAGAATGTTATAGAGGTTCTAAAGATGTCTTTAAAGGGTCCCTCACGCCTCACTTCCTGAAATAGTGGAAGTCAAAAATGGCTGCTTACATATATAGATGACTTTTTGCTTCTATACTAACAGGTGTTTTGCCACTTCCATGTCAATCAGTCGGAGTGCAGTTAAACTTACCAACGCTGGGTGGACAAATCGGTCTTTTAGCCAAGCCTCTTTTTCTCAGGTCCAAAATTTGGGTTTTCACCCCACGGAACCCTATGCAGCAGGAACCAATCTGGTGGTTCGGAGGCCCCTTTGGATTTCACTTTGCACTCGCCCCTGACAGTCTCTGGACAAATCCCGGAACGCCAGCATGGGTCTCCGCCAGAGTCCTGCACAGAATCATCTGGGCTCAATGGATTTAAAAGCTGTTCTCGCAGGGCGCTATTCTCTTCCTTCAGGCATCGCACCTCCTCCTCCTCGGGAGGCACGGACGGAAACCGGCGAAGCCGGCAATTGGGCAGTTCCACCTCCCCAAGGCGGCGTGGATGACGGTTCCGGAACCCAAGCGAAGTACCTCGAACAACATCATGCCAAGGCACATGTTCCGCTAACAGCTGCTCGATCAGCTCCTGGAAGCGGCCTCCCGCAAGTCCCGCCATTGGAGGAAAACGAGCGTGCCGCAGGACCGGCGCAGTGGGCGGGAACGCAGAAGCGGCTGGCGCTCAACTCACAGCACACAGGAGTGGCAAATCTGCAATCTACCAGTGGAAATTGCAAAACTTAAGTTCTTGGACAACCTGGAGCTCCTAGCTTCAGACATGCGAAGTGACTCAACAATGGCGTTCACAAACAACTCCACAGCCAGCGTAGAAAAAAACATTTTGCTGGACGTGTTGCTGCTGAGAGCCTGTGAGATTCCGACGCAGATCCGGCACAAAGCATGATACAAAGCTCAGCGACGATCAAACTGGATGGCCCTTCCAAATTTCAGAAATCCTTCCCCTCTTGTGGCCAAAGCCACCAACTGTGGCACCCTGTCAGTCGTGAGTCCTCAGCGCCCTTTACGGCAGACCCGAGTGACATTAAGTGATGGATTCCCGAAGCACCCTGTTCCAACCGTCAGACACGTCCAAGCTCACCAGGTCATCAGTGTCCTCACCAAAAGTGCATGAAGAAAGCAATGCCCTTCCTCGCGTGCCCTTCGTGCCCTTCGGTTTCGGCCGCTGCTGCACCCTTCGGTCCAATGCCACTGCCATTTCTTCGACCATTTCTCGAGCGATCCGGAGCCGTGCCGGGCCGTGATCCGGAGATCTCCGGTGGCAGACAGCGACTCCGCGGAGCTGCGCATGGACCACCCATCGGTCATAGGTGACAAGAAGAAAGGGGCCAACAAGAATTGCCTATGTGGTTTTCAGAGTAGATGGCACAACCCGCACCTTTGGTAGATGCATCATGCATTCCCCCTTCACCTGCTTTGTGTCATCTACTCTGCAACCACTGCTAACTAACCCACGAACGGGCCACGCGCGCTCCAGGAAGGCCCCCTGGACCCACGCCCATAGACTCATAGATGTGTTTCTTTTGACACCCGTAGACGCAACCTATGACCGAGTCTTTGGCAAGTCTTGGGCAAATATTGGTGGAAGGAAGAAATCGGGATGGCGAGTGGAAGTATTGCGTATCATTCATCAAGCTAGTGAAAGCTAATTTCTTCCATCACCAGTTGTAAAACTTCGGGCGTCACTGCAGCTGCCATGCCCATTATGGGCAAACAGGCCACGCATCAACGCCAGTCAACACCCAGTGTTGGCGCCGGAATTGCAAAACACAGACAGACCAATTAAGGACTGGAATATCTACTTTACTAGAAGGACCACGATCCAGCTGCCTGAAAAGGCCCATTAGGTGGCTGAGCAGTACGTTGGCTACTCCATGCCACAGCCATGCCCAGCTCCTCTTGCTTCATCCGCACCGTGTGGACTGCTTGTCACACATCTGCCCGCATGCTTAGGATATGCCAAATCTGACCACGGTGATACAAACAAAAGCACATTGAACAAGGACGCTACTAGGAACGGCATCGCTACCAGGAGCGATGCTACTAGGGGCTCCTGGCGCTACTAGTAGCAAGAAGCTACTAGCAACAAGAAGCATTCTTACTTAGAAAATCCAAAGTGAATTGGCTCAATGCAGGTAATATCTGATCTCCAAACATCAGCCTTGGCCAACCCGAGTATCGTCTTTCTAATCTTGCTCCTACAGTGAAACCGTTGCCTTTTGTGCCCCAAATACGAGATGCACAAATGATGTGATCGTCATAGTCTTGAATAGATCCTACTCTGCTCTTACGTACCAGCCATCGGGATTGATGCTCAGCCATCAGGATTGACGCAACGCACCAACTCCACCCAAGATATGCCCCAGACTCGTCAGGATAGGTATCAGGATCCCGGAAATATGGAAAACCATCGCTCCAAGTAATTATGCACATTTGCCAGGACATCCAACAAAAGGTTTATGACCACTTAAGTGTGACAATATACAGAACATCTTAACAACCAAGACTTAGGACTTAGGAATTAGATTGTTATCTTTCCATGTTACACGTTCCATGTCTAATTCCTTTGGATGCCTCAAAGTGCCGGATATCTTTGATGATGTTCCCAATTCATCCTAGCTTCCCATAAATGCATTCCAACCAACCAATTGGATTCTCCTTCATCACAAGTCTTCCAAACCTATCGTGGCAACTGCGACCGAAGGCCAGGTTCATGGGCATGTCTCATGACGGACCGGACTGCAAGATGTATGGCAGGGGCGATCTCACTACTTGTGAAGCTCTCATCTCAGTTTGAAACTTCACCACCTCCTCCCTCATCTTGTTCAAATCTGCTCTCATCACCTCACGCGTGCGGGAAGGAGATGTTGGAACAAATGGGTGGGAAAAAGAAACTCGCCCACCCACACAAGTATGAAAACTTTGTTTTGCCTCACCCCACTTACTGGAAGTCTCGGAACACTTGCCGAAGGAAAACAAACTGTAGATAGCTATAGCAGCTAACACGCATTCAATCCAACACCAAGCCTCACAAGCGTCTTGACTTTGATTCTTTCATATTTTTCTATTGTTTCAACATGTCTCGATGTTCCTTCTTGTTCCTTTCCTATCCTTTCTTTGTCTCTCAGTCTCAATAAACCATATGACATGCTTGTCTAACTCTTCAGTCCTTCCCACAACCAGAAGTCCGAAGGTCTACGTCTCGCATCGGGTCCCGCACGGTGTTCTCATAGTTCATTCGGGCCACCTGCGACGTCCGTCCACCCGAACCGCCTCAGGTTCGTTCCAAATGACCTGACGAGGTCTGACGACCTTCCCTGGCTGGGCACTCAAAGCGACACGACCTGTACTGCCCCGGCCACCGTGAGCAGCACAGCGTCGTAAGCTAGCCACTCGCAGCACCTACTATGTTGAGCTGGCCGCCAGCAGCAGCAAAAGCAACAGCAGCGTAGCACTCAATGCACTGGCCAGCGCTCAACGCAAACAAAACAATAGGTCTGCTACATTGGAGTGGCCTCCAAGTTTTGCCCTCGGCGGCTCACACTGCTGCATGGCTATTATAATGGTGCCTCCTCTAAATTTCAACCTCGGCTGGCTCACAAAAGTATGCTAACATTGGAGTGGCCTGCGTCTTCTAAATTTTACCTGCGGTGGTTCACAAAAGGTCTGCCGCCTTCGGCTGGCCTCTCCTCTTCTAAAATTTTACCCTCGGCTGGCTCAGAAAAGGTCTGCTACATTGGAATGGCCTCTGCCTCAGCTACAGTATATTTTACCCTCGGCTGGCTCACAGAAGGTCGGCTACATTGGGAGCCCCTGCCCTTCCTTCTCTAAATTTTGCCCTCGGGTGTCGGGTGGTACACACAAAGGATCACAAAGGTATGCGTTCAAAAGGCTCCTTCCTTTCTTGAGCTTCACCAAAAAGCAGTATGCTACATGGCCACTGCAGGCAGCACGGATTTGCACGGCAACTCACGACACTGGCTACTGCTTCCTTCCTTCCTTCCGTCCGTCCTTCCCTCGTGGAAAAACCCTAAAATGTCTTCAGTCGGTGGGCGTTGTGTCCAGGATGCACGGGAAAGAGAACAACTATCATCTCTGGGGTATATCATATATCACATTCCCTGTAACAATGAATGAAGCCACGAAAAGCCAACAAAAGCAACAAAAAGCCAACACAAGCCACCGGAAGCCAAAAGCCAAAGCCACCAAAAGCCAAGAGAAGCTACCACACCACAAACGGTGAAACAAATCCCTCAAAAAACAGAAAAGTCATGTAACTAAGATGAGTTCCCCTGATTAGCATGGCATCTAGCCTCCATTGCCTTTCCCAGCGGACTGAGATGGAAATTGACATGAAAAAAACAAACTGCAAAGCCAGGAAGAGGAAGATCCTCTTCTCCCCTGCAATTCTGAATGGAAAGGTGTACACTTGGGGTCTTCGATGGTAAACTAGTAAACAACTATCAGGTAGGGTTGATTTAAACATAGATCACCAGGTGTAGAAGAATGTAAGATGGAGAAGAACCACATGGGCACCATGTTCCACTTGACGCTTGCAGTGGTCTCACCTCTCAATCTGCACACTGTACAGCCAGCCGTCAGGTGAGGCCGCGGCGTCAACGACACATTGTGGGACCATGTGACCACACGGTCCGTCAACACGCCCAGTCCGCTTCCTAGCTGGACTAGACTCAAGCGTCAAAACCAGAGTAAGGAAAGTCATCTATATTGATGATCTCTGAACATCGTGGGCGAGGCATGGTTCACAGATGTGGCGTTCACTATTGCACCACAGGACCAGCTGCATGTGACCAATGGCAGAAACAGCACTTCAATACCGGCCCCAGTGGACCAAAAACAGGCCAATGAACAAATATAACACATGAATCTAGTGATTGTGAAACATCGTAGATCTGTCGTTCACTTGCAGTGTCCCATGTGGTGAACAAATCTATACCCAACCCAGGTCTAATCAAAGAATGGCAGTTCTCGATAAATGCAAAAGAGCCCAAATATGTGAAATGGAGTGGAATAAGACTGCCACCAAAAGAAGACAAGGAAACAATCTCATGCTTCCCATCTTGAAACAGCTCCTTTTGGCAGCCCCCGCGTTCTGGTGCCGGGGCCGTCAACCGACTATTGCATGGTTTTGCAGCTTTGGGACTGTTTGGTCTTGACCTTTCAGCCTGTTTGGGCATGTGCTTTTAAGTCGTCACCATCTGTTTAGGTAGGTCACCATGCCTCACGCCGTCGGCGTGCCGCCCGCCGCATGAGAAAGGCCACACCACCGCGCCGTGGCTTCAATCCGTGCGGTCTCAACCTTCGAGCCGTGCAGGGCTTCCGCGAGAAACCAATGGTTTTGGAGTGTCAAAACCCATCACCAGCCACTCATTGATTGAATGAATGTGTTACATTTGTGTTATAAGTCTTTTTCGGTTTGCACATTTGGATGGCACCAGTAGTCCAAAAGGCACCGAAAATCGCTTTATTGTTGACCTTGCTATGCCTGGATGGTCCATACGCACTGGAGTGATCGGCTTATGGTAGACGCGCGCATCACAATCTGGGCGAAGGCTCTTTTGCTCGGAATTCTCCAAATAGATCATGTTATAGAGACCCCCCAAAAATAGAAAAGTAGATCCCGATTATATAAACATGTATTGGAAAGCGTGCCACTATCTATTTGGGGATCACATTTATCTCGTGGGCTGCTTGACACGTCCACGCGGTTAGGAGAAGCTCCGGAGAAACGGTGTGTGATGTGGGCCGAGAAAAACCATTCAGGTGAGGCATGATTCAAAAAATGATGTTGGTTACGACCGGGATTCAGTCTGGACCCTGGGATATGATATGTGTGTGTGCACGCATAAGTGTGTGAACCGTATTGTTGACCTAGGGTGGCGTAAGGAGGGCGGCTCACTCGCATCGCTTTGCCCGGATCCATGGGGAAGGGGTGTTCCGCATCAAGCGACAAACCATGGTCACACCCCGAAGGAACAAGAACAACTGCACAGGCTTGTTAATGGATCGTTGCACGCCATGCTCCATGCAAATGAGGCTCAAGGTTTAATTACTGCCCCTCATTGGGTACGCACCGTGTTCTTGTGGCAAGTCCCAGCCAGATGCACCAACCTCCATGCTACCCCAACCGAGGGGTTGCTCTCACCGAGTTTGAGGCCCAAGTTCTCGTGCTCTCACGGGGTGCTTGAAGAGACTGAAGAGATGCGATGTGCCTCGTTCCTAAAAAGGAAGCGCCGGGAAGCTGGGTTTGGTAAATGGTTTGGAGGGAGCACCAGGGCTGATTTCTTGAAGACTGTGCCTGGTGATCCTTAGCTCTTGTGGATTGGATGTAGGTGCCCACAAGTGGAGAGTGAAGTGAGCCAATTGCAAGCAGTGTGTTGGAAGGAGGGTGACTCCTCTCGTCTGTGCTGAGCAAGTAGTTGCGGGAACAGTCGGCTTTCGCATGAACGACCGGAGCAAGATGCTATTAGCAATTGAGAAGGATTTGCTGATATGTAGGAAATGTGCTCGCCGGTGGTACTATGCCGACCCAAGTCAAGCTAGCATGTCCGCTTAAGGCTTGCGCCACAACGTGCGTCCCTTTGAAATGATTCCTAGGTGAAACTTCAGTTATGCCGCTGTGGAGGGTTGCCTGAGTACCACATGGATGGCCGTTTTCTTTGAATCCGACTTAAGGTACCAAAGCCTGAGCCTAGACTCCTTTTGCTCTCCCGCGGCACTTTTGCGTTTGCAGCCACTTCGTAGATGGTGTCTTGAACACACACATGCATAAGGCCCAGTGACGCCAGAGCTTTTGCATATCCACTTGTGCACAAACACGTGAGCTTCAAAGACTCTTCAGAGTATGCCCACATGCTTTTTGTGCCTCCAAACTCACATGGCCTTAGACGCCTCCAACACCGTCAACTGCCTTTTGAATTTGCTGGTCAGGGGGGCATGGCTGCTTGAGGCTGAGTCTTAACCCACTGTTCAGGAGCGTCGGGTGCAACGTGAATGCTGGTGCGTTTTGTTGTGAACTCTGCATTGGACCTTTGTTTCGAGATTGCACATGGCGCATCTCACAGCCTCATTTACATGGTTAGGGCTGCGTGAGCTGAGCCAAACCATCGGAGCGGCCCTAGAGGAGCCGGCCCCTAGAGGTGGTCGTTCACTTGTCGTGCAGGCGTTCATCCAAGAGCACAAGGATGCATAGAAAAATGGAGCGCATGTGCACCAAAAAAACAAACAAACAAACAAACAAGAAACACCTGAATTAAGAAACACATAGAAACACAAAGCAACCAACACTATTTAAACAAATATCATGTTTTCGCAGCTGTTTTTTAAAAGGGTTCTGGCAACCTATCCACCTGGTGCCCCCAAGCCAGCCCGGCCTCGTCTGCGGCCCTCGCACTCGCCGTGCGTGGACGTCTCGTCGTGCGCGGTGGACGTCGGCCGGGAGCGGCTCGGCCGTGGCCACGAAGAGCGGGGCCACACGGCGGGGTTCGAAGATGACCTTGGATTCCACACGGCGGGTGTCGGAGCAAACCCTACTCCACCCCCCTGCCTGTTTTGGACTTAATGAGGGGGGTGGCCTAAAGAAGAGGTTTAAAAGTCTACTACTCTCACTCTTCATGGAGTTATTTGGGGGATGAACCTGACATAACCTGGCCCAAGCCGGACCCCCCCCGATTCAGACTGAGTCGGTCACCATGTAGATTCCAGTCGGTCACACGGAGTGGTGGCTCCCAAGCATTCAAAGAAACATATACCATGATATTTCATTTTTCTTGACATGCACGCATGAGCAAAATACAGGAAGGGTCCCGAATCGATTCGGAACCGAACTTTCGGAACCGAAAGTCAGCGAATGTCAAGAACCGAAATGTTTCATCAACCGAATCATTACAACCGTCAATTTTCCAAACACAACCGAACCGAAAAGAAAAACGAACCATTCCGCTCTGTTCCGCTGTAACGTTTTTTCAGACTGTCCAAAGTCTTGAGTTTCAGAGCAGCAGTCCCCCACTGGAATGTCCATACAGCATGTCACTGGCCCGGCCCGGCTTCAGGCGCATTCATAAAATGTTTTCCTTTCCTTTTCCTTTTCCTTGCTTTCCTTTCCAATATGCTTCTCAGACGGCATGGAAAAGGCATATTCACAAATTGCATTCCTACCTGTCCATGTCCATGTCCTTTTCCTTTCCTTTGCTTTCCTTAACATTGTCCTTTTCCTTTCCTTTCCTTTCCAATATGCTTTTTAGCCTACCATGAAAAAGCATATTCACAAATTGCATACCGTTTCCTTTTCCTTTTCCTGTCCATTCCTTTGCTTTCCTTTCCTTCCTTTTCCTTTTCTTGGGTTTCCTTTCCAATATGCTTTTTGGAAGGCCTGGAAAAAACATATTCACAAATTGCATTCCCACCTGCCCATGTGCATCTCCAATTCCTGTTCCTTTCCTTTCCAATATGCTTTTTAGACTGCCAGGATAACGCATATTCACAAATTGCATACCTTACCTGTCCTTTCCTTTCTTTGTCCATTGCTTTGCTTTCCTTTCCTTCCTTTTCCTTTTCTTGGCTTTCCTTTCCAATATGCTTTTTGGAAAGCCTGGAAAAAGCATATTCACAAGTTGCATTCCTTCCCCTTGCTTTTCCTTTTCTATTCCCTGTGTTTTCCCTGCCTGTTCTTTCCTTTTCTTTCCTTTCCTTTCCTTTCCTTAAACCAATTACTTTCCTTTCCTTTCCTTTTT